TCTTGGATTGTTTTTTCATTACTATTTTTTCTCTAGATAGATCTGATTCTTCTTTCATGTTTATCACCATACTAGCCGCGATCATTCCTTCTATCTTCATCATCAGCCTGCCACTCAAGAAGTTTTTAGATTTAAACTCAAATTTAATTCATCACCAAGGTCCAATGTTGCTATAACACGTTGTTGTTGTTGTTTTTTTTTTTTTTTTTTTTTTTATTTTTTTTTTATGTTAGGCGACCACCTCATAGCTAGAATAATTTATTTTGTAACATAAAGGCAGAGATTACGACACTACAGCTATCAATTATGACGATGGACAAATCGTGAACATGTTTGGTGGTGTGATTGTTTTGGTTTTTTTTTATTTATTTGTTTATATTGTAATAATGCTTCTCTACATGGAGGCTTCCTCCCTTAGTATAGATTTTCTCCTCCCTACATGGAGGTTTATTTTTCTCCTTGCATGGAGACTCTATTTATCCCTTTTGGAATCCATCTTGTATTTCGATGTATATTATTAAATAACCTATTGTTAAATGAATAAAGCTTTGGACCCCCAGTGGGGGTACTGGGGGTCACCTCCCATTGGTCCAAAAAAAACAGTTTTTTTTTTTTTTTTTTTTTGAGTTTTCAGCCAACCCCAGGCCGACACGTGGCACTGGGGGGTCACTGGGGGTCACCCCCACTGGGGGTCTGTAGCATTGCTGATTGTTAAATATGTAATGTATTAAGTTTCATACTTTTCAATAAATAAATAAGATATTTAAGGGCCTCGTTTGATTCGGTGTAACTTTCCACAATTTAAAAGATAATAATTAAAATGCGTAAAATTAATAATTTCCTCTCTTAGCTTTTTAAAAACAAATTTTAATTAGTTTTTCCCATAAATTTTAAACAGAAACTACACCTAATACTCACAGAGACTCTTAAAATAACAATATATAAGGTATTACCCTAACCATCCTTGATGTTTAGAAAAAAAATATAATAAATCCATCCAAATTGGCATAATTACATTAACCCCTCTTTTAGTAAGACAAAAACGATTGAAATTAATGCAAATGGTGTGTAAATAAGGGATAAATAAGAGAAAACTATTCATTTCAGTGTAAAAGATATAACAATAGTTTTCTATCCTTATGACTATCGAATTATTGATAAAAAAAGGGAGGCAAAGTGTTAAATGGATTAAAATCTCGAAAAAAACCCAATATAATTATGTTAGATTTGTTAAACTCGATGCATTTTTTTAAAACATCAAGGGAGATTAGTATAATTTATCCACACACATATATATATATATATTTAAGATTAAAAAAAATGTAATACAACCTAACAATTGTTATAAGCTTTTATTACAGACCAATATGGCATATAGTAATTAATAAAACTTTGGTATCTGAAATGAGACTTCACTACAGTAATATAATATATAATAATTGGCTAAGTAATTTTTCAAAAGCAATAAGATGCACTAAAAGTGTGTACCGATGATATATCAGATCAACAGAGAGAGAGAGAGAGTTGAAGGGCATGGAGCCAAAGTTGACATGTTTCAAAGGGGCAAGAAAGTAAGTAGGTAGCGTAGAAGTATGTATAAACTTTTTTGGGTCATGTGGGTTGGGTTGGGTATGACCCCTCCTAAAATGCTATAAAGTAAAATTCATGTTAGGTTTATCTAATTTTGGCCCTCTTTGCTTCTTATTTACTCCATCTTCTTCTTCTTCAATTTTATTCGGTAAAAATGGTTGGTGTTGGTAACTGAATTGTGTATAATCCCAACAATTATAGGATTTTGAGGGAAAAAAACTACTAATCCGAAAATAAAATGAAAAACATGTTTTATCCACAATCAGTGATTGAAATTTAATTTGTGTATCATGATATTAAAATAAACAAAAATATTGATACTTCCAAATAAAATTTAGATAAAATTCTGAATACACAATATTACTACTTTGTGTTTTAGATTTGTATTACTGCTTTGTTGATCATATTTTGCTTTGTTAGTGTAATGACTACTTATTTTCACCATCTTATCCTATTCTATAATGTGTAAATCTAATTATTAACATTCTATCAGAGATTTACACTACAGATAGAATCCATTACACTAGCATTGTGTTGACAAATAAAATAATAAATATAATATAATATACTAATATTATAACATCATTAAAATAAATAGTTATATATACATACATATTTCATCTTGGAATGGACCGTAAGATCCGTGATGTCATGTGAATGCGATCGTTTGAACAAAACATATGATTGATTATTAAGTGTGAGAAAATAAATTTAAAAAAGATAATTACACCCAAGTGGTAGTCCCAAAAAAAAAGAAAATTTAAAAAAAAAAAAACATGTTCATAAAAAAATAAATATTTTGTAAAAATGTCATTGATGTGTTATTTCCCTAAATTATGGCAAAATCCAATTCAATCCAATCCAACTCATGTGCCCCTTGACTGCTTCAATGTGCACATATGAAAAAGGGAAATTACTATTCAGGATGTGCTTTGAAATTTTTTTTACAAAATAGTGAAATAATTTATGATTTTAATTATTAATATTTATAATATTTACCATTTTTTTGTAAATAATTTTTCTCATTTACCTGGTAATTACCCCTCAAAAAAATCCAGCTTCCTCAATAGCTGTCTTATCAGATCATCAAATGTCACGCAGTCTCAGATTAGGCTCCAAGGCATGCTGGAATTACTAACCAATTTCCTCAATGTGGCATAAAATATGCTTTCGGGAAATTGCTAGGTAAATTTATAAAAATAAATAAATAAATAAATAAAAAGTAAAAAATTATGAAAAACAAAAATTGAAAGCAAGAATATGAATCAATCATCATCAAACAGAAACAGAATCTGCAATACTTCTCAGCAAACATGCAAATCAACAATTACACCATCGAACAAAAACCCATTTGTCATAAACAGAAAGGAAGGTGGGAAAAAAAAAAAATACAAGGCATACAAAAAAGAAATTGTGCCTCCAAATATTGCCTGCCTGAGTCATCAAATTATTTTTAAACTAAGTAAATTTTCTTTTTTTTTATTTTCCACAGAATTGGCCATAAGACAACTCAAAGGTTTGCTGCACGGGCCCAACAAATCAATGAGAATAAGGGGAGTGCCCGCCTAGCATGACGCAATTTCATTTTGAACAAAACTTGCTGCTGACTGAGTCATAGCTTGGGACATAAATTACTGCCAAACAAGGATAGAAAATATTGAGGAATTCTATCACAAAATATCTGACAATTGTCAGTAAAAAAGTGTTCTCATGAAACAGGGAATTTACCATCTCCGTAAGATGCCATTGTAAGAGGGGTAGAAATTAGCTTTTGAGCAATGGAGGCAATATCCTTCAGTGAAACTTCATCCACAGCCCTCAAGAAATGCTCCACAGGTTTCCTGAAAATCACAATTTAAAACTTAGAAGAAAGAGAACACAAGTCAAGTCTTTTGCAGTTCTTTTTTTTTTCCCCCACTCCAGAAATTGAACATCAGACTACTTTAGAAGTACAAAATGCAGATACGCAAGCAAGACTGAAATATGTAGAGCATCCCTCAGTTAATCTACCATGGATCCTACTGAAAGTAAATCATGTTATCCTGATCACTTGATACGGAACAAAATCAGGATTGAGGTGTTAAAGCCTAAGTGCCCAGAAGATTTTCATATAATGTGATACAAAAGGAGAGACCCATATGTGAACCCACACCTTTATGTCATATCTATATCCCATTCTATAAAAAATCTTCCGTGTTACTAGCACAGCTGTTCTGTCACTCTAGGAAGACCGCCACAATTTCTTTAAAGCCAATCCCAAATAACAAGGCCAGCAATCTTTTCCATCTAAACCAAATTATAATTCCACTAGATTATGTTTGGAAAATATGGTGACAAAATTTTAGCAACACCACCAGATTCAATGAGGTGTGCCAGTCCTTGCATCAACTTCTAGATGGCAATACAACAATCAAAATTCACATTCTGTGAGAATGGGGAACAGTGGACAAAAAGATTCTCCAGATGTTTTTTGGTTCATTATTAAAACCACAATAACAAAACTTAGTTCCACGAAGTGGAAGCAGGAGCGGGGGCGAGAGCAGGAGCGAGGAAGCATGAGCATTTTTTAGGTTGGGAGCGTCTCAGGGAGTGGTAATATATATATATATATATATTTTAATTTTTTTTTATAAATATTTTTATTTTAATACACATTAAATATTTTATTTATTTATTATATTTTTTAAATAATATGTTATTATTGTTAATTTAATTTTTTTTATTTTAATTGATATATATATATATATATTATAAATAAAAAATAATAATAAATAAGGAATAATAAATTAAGTTAAAATAAATAAAAAGAAATGTTAGATATTTTATTTTATAATTTTTTTATTATATGATAAAAATTATACTTTATAAATATTATTACATATATTATATATGATAAATTATATATATTAATATGATCAATTAAAACATAGAGACGAAGAGAGAGAGAACAACGAATAGATTGAGAGATGAAGAGGGAGAGAAGCAAAGACGAAGAGAGGGAAAGAACCACAGAGATAGAGAGAGACGAAGACGATCAGGAGAGTGACGAAGATGATCGAAGCCCTTAGAGACGAAGACGATCGTGATCGATAGTGAGAGAAGAAAGTAACAAAGGCAATCAAAGCCCTAATCTCAGCCTTAATCCAATCCAACTACAAAGCTCCTACCACTGGTCCGCTGTAAGTTTCTCTCAACAACCATTCTTCTTTCTCCTCTCATGTCGACGTCGAAGGCTAGGCTTTCTCTCTCTCTCTCTCTCTCTCTCTCTCTCCTCCCTTTACGATCCCATCTTCGACTGAATCGCGTTTCTCTCTCCACTGAAACGCGATTCTTACACGTTTCTTTCTAGGAAACGCGGAATCGCAATTCTTACTCAAAATCGCCACCTAGTTGCACGATTCCTGCAACTAAGTAACAAAAATAAGAAAGTCCAGTCAAATCATGAGAAAGCAACTGCAATGATTTCTCAAGGTTGTGACAACAAGTGTGGGCTTGACTACAGTTTAGCATGACAGACAATCCGATGTCTTTCAATCAATTAGCAGACGAGAAAGCGCATATCCCATCAGATCATACTCTCTTTACAAAACATGCAGGTCCACCCAGTATCCAGAAACAGATTTTGTTCATATTATACTCTCTGAACACTTCTAAATACACCATTGGATTCCATAAACATGCAGATACAAACACAGTAAGAGATCATTTCGCATAGATGCATACTGCCAGGGTAACCTAATCCACAAGTCACTACAGAGAATTAAAAGCCATGACTCAAGCATTACCTCTCTCCATATGTCAAAATTTGTCTACCAATATCTTCTGATGCGACCACCTACATGATAAAACCCAATTGTAAGCCAATTAGAAAACATGCCTGATTCATTTTAAAATAGAGTCCAGCACAAAAACATTTAAAAAAAAAAAACAATTAAAGTTCATCAGATGTAGGAAAGAAGTTGCTTACTCTGGATTCGAGGTTCATAAGAATGGCAGACCTTGTTGACTGTTTGGCACGATCTAGCTGTACCTGGTCAACTGCCAGCCAGTAGAAGGATGAAAAATAGAGGGAAAGAGGTGAGATGGGCGGGCATGAATCACTAATACACTCTATGAATATTTTTTAATGCAAGTGGTAGTAATAAGCTCCTAAGAAAATTGAAATTGCTTTATCTTTGTTTTTGTTCTATTATTTTTGCTTTTTCAGCATATAACTAAAGAACCCCTATGAACAATCTAGCAATGAACCCCAAAACCAAAGAAGAGAAATGCTACAAGCAAATTAAAGGTATGACAGCAGACCTTCTCCAGGTGTGGCAACTGCAATAAGTTCTTTAACAGCTATATCAATGGCCTTTGGTACAAAATCAGAGCCCTAAAACAAAAAAATGCAACCACCCTCAGCTTTAAACGAGAATATTGATGAAGAGATGACAAAAATTAAGACCTAATCTTCCATGAGTAAACTAGCCAAGTGAGTAAAATGCCCATAATACTTCCTGTCCCAAAATTAGTGTCGTGTTTGAAAAGCAAAAATCAACGGTAAATGCAAGTCACTTCATCTTTTTGGCATTACTCAAAATTACCAGATCATCAAAGTTGAGAAATAATGACTGCTTTGTGTTTATGGAATTTATAATATATTTTGTCAACCAGTAATATAAAAAAGTAAAATAATTATTGCTATGAGTTTTCTACTGTGGACATTCATTTTGGGACAGTCAACAATGGAAAGTAAGACTCATTTTGGGACAGACTAAATTATCCCTGACTTAAAAACCCATTGGAAGATTATTTTAGTTTCCATGCATGTTAAATGAAGCCCACAATTATGTAAAACATCAGTGATAGGTATATTGCGTCAGAGCAGAAGTGCTTACAGTGGTAGCTTGAATTCCAAATATGCCAGTATTGTTGTACATGCTGTTGAATGCAGAGAATGACTGAATTTGTGGATGCTCGTTCAAAACACGAAGATCTACTCATCATATCAGTGCAAACATATAAATCCCAGAGTTGGAAGAATATCTATGACAAGAGATATCTGTGTACCAGTGTGCTATGCAAGCAATTATATAATGTGATATGTGTATGTAGACATAAACATACATTTGCGAGTATCTCACACTTACTAATAGACCCATTGGATACGAAATGTCTGTTATGTACACTTACATAGCCTTGAGTACATCCCTTTTCCAGGACCGCCAGCCGAGAAAGATCCACCTCCTCCCATTAACATCTATAAGAAATATTGATGTATTATTGCTTCCAAAGTTGGCATCCCAAAATAACAAGAACTCTAAAGGAAAATTAACATGGAAAAAAATATAACCAGAATGACTCGCATTAGCATATCCACTCACTATCGGGGGATTATACAGTTGCAGCACGCTGAATCACAATGGAAAACCAATCATGGGAATTTAATACCTGAAGAACAGTCAAAGTCATAGCTTCCTTCTCCTTCTTCCAGCCACCAGGAGCTTCAAAGGCAAGGGCAAAATGAGTTTTCTGGTCATACACAAATACAAGAAAATAATGTCAGAAAATCAAAAGCATCATATCCTACATGACTATAAATCCTAGATAATTATGTCAAAGAGTCAAAAACTAACAAATCCTAGAAGATAAACTGTGCAAAAACAACATATGAATGTCTATCATATACATACCCCTGGATCAGATTGACAGCGATAATCACCTCCAACGTAGACAGATTTTGGCTCCTGAGGACGAGGTATGCTGGGTAAGTCAGACAGAAGTGGTTCTGCAATTTTCATCAGCTCCTCATGTTCAACACCAGAAGCTGCAAGGACCATTCGAGCAGCAGTATAATTTTCCTGAAACTCTCAAAGGAAGACAAAATTAAGAAAGGCAAAACACCCAGGGAAAAAAACAACCAAGAAATAATGAAGAAATTGCTTTTGATGATAATACCATTTAAAAATAATAAATACAGTGTTAAAGTATATGTAAAGTTTCCTCCAACTCACAGCCACAAATTCCTCCAAAATGGTGCTATCCAATCTGCTAATTGCAGACTCTGAAGTCAAAAGAGGATTTCCCAATGCACCAGAATAACCAGCAGAGTGAATTGCCTCTAAAAGTAGGCCTTGTGGATTGTTTGATGCTTCTGCAATCTCAGCTTTCACCTTCAGAAGCTGTTGAAGGTAAAATTTCATTTCAGCACAAGCATAACACCAGAAATGACAAGAAAGATGAGTGGGAAAATTAAGAAACTTACTTGTTCGTTGACCTCCCAATCCAGGAAAACAGGGTTCCTCACACAGTCAATGAGCAGTTCTACCATTTCAGGAACATAAGTCTTCAGAGCATCGTAGGTGTATCCCATCTGCTCCCGAGAAGCTGATGCTGACACAATGCCACCAATTGCTTCCACTTCCCGCACAACACGCAAGTAACTTCTGTTTGTTGTGCTCTTAAAGGCCATACGTTCCAGGAGGTGTGTAGCCCCAAATGAATGTGGTGTCTCATAGATTGAACCACAATCAACATACAATCCAATAGAGGCAGAAGGAGTCTGTCCAGTCAACCAATTAAACAACTTTGTGACAAGAGAAACTTAAAACATACAAAAGGATCAACGAGAAGAACGCATGACCCACACATACCGGAGATGTTTCGGAGGCGATTTTGACACCATTGGGGAGGGTTGTTATCTTGGTTTTACCCGGTTCAACATGGTCAGGCAATGGAGGTGGAAGGGTAACACCTTTAAGTGGGACTTGTAGAGGGGGAAGTGAACTAGAACTCTCCCCTGTCAGCCAGCTAAAGAGACCCCCTGAAGAAGACTTTGTAACAACAGCACTTGAACTTGCAGACCTGGTTAGTGACCTATTGACCGCACGACTCTGATTTTACAGTTCAATATCAAAACACATTTCCATTTGATATGTATACCAATAAATTATTATATAACAAGATAAAATTAAAATAGCTCCATCAATGCTAATCTAACAATCTAAAAGTAACCCAAATTAGCTATCTCATAAAAATAAATAAATAAACAAAATCCCTTTCAAAACAGCAACATAAACACGATTCTCACAATTCAGAGCAATTTTTAAGTGGTAGACGAAATAGGGACAAGGCGAGTTGAGTGCATTGCTAAATCGATGAAATTCATGTACAGAAGACACCCCAACCGTTTAGATTCCTACCATTCTCATCACAAACCGTTTTCTTTCCAATCAACCAAACAGAAAGAAAACAAAAAAAATGCCTTGAATTTTGAGTGTTGGGCATTTTAATCTCTAAATGTGTAGAACCCAACCGAGCTAAAAATCAGTGAAATCTATTGTTTCCGAAAACATAAATGGAATATGAAAAAAAAAAGAAGTTAAATTCTTTTCGTTTCAAACATTTTCTCAGCAAAAACTATAAACCAAACAGACAGGAAATCAATAGGCTTCAGTCATTAAATTTCAATGAGTACCAAATCAAAATAATACGAATCAAATCAGACACTCAATCACACATGCGTGTATAAGCATATATATATGTATATATTTATGGAAATCGAACTAGGGTTATGGAGGAACAGACCTTGAGAGCCCTGAGACGCGAAGCTGCTGTTCTGTACATGGTGATCGATGAGATTGAAGAAGAAACCCTAGAAAGATAGTAAAGTGTCTTTTGTGTTTCTCTCTTTAGACCTAGTTGTTTGGTTTGTGAGATTAGCAGCTAGAGGAGAGGGAGGCGAGAACGGCGAACAATGACCCCAGCACGTGCGAGTGTAGTCCTAGCACGTGCATGTTCTATTTGACCAGGATTGTGATGATGTGGTGGGTAATCTGATCCGTTGATGTTGGATATCTCGTACGTGATTGATTCTCGGCCGTGGGATCGATGAGTGAAACTCTGCCGCTTTTCATGGTTGTTCGGAGAAATTGTTTTAGACTTGAAAAAACTAGAGAAATGAGTTACATTTTTTATAGAGCAATATTAAAAACTCATACTTATAGGTTTATAAATTCAAAAATGTTACCGGCCCGAAAATTTTGAATTCGTTTGGAAAGAAAAGTTAGGTTGAGTTTGGGATTATTTTAGTTATAAAAAGATAAATTAAAATTTTTAATTTAATAAGATAAAATATTACATTTAATTCATAATTATTATATTATTTCTCTTATAAAAAGTTAAAAAAATCAAAAAGTCATTCACAAATGAGACTTTCTAACTTTAGGTTAAAATAGTCAAAAAGTCAAGTAACTTTCCAAACGAATCCTTTATCAAAAAATTTATTAAATGTCTCACATAGGGATAAGACCCACATTGTGTGGGTTCCACACATATGTAAGACATTGATATAATTTTTTGTAAAATTTTTGAAATTTCTAACATTACTCTTATAAATTTACTTATAACGATATGGTAAAAGAGTTGAGCTTTACAATATTAAATGTATAACAAATTAAAAGTTAACACATATCATATTACATTATTATGGCTACTACTGTGCGGGGAAAAAAAATCAGGTTTTATACATTTTCTTTTTTATAGTGATCTTTTAACTCTTTTTTTTTTTTAAACTAAAATAATGAATTCCCAAAACAACGTACTCTTAGACCTATTTTGGATAGTGTTAAAAAAGTCAGTTTATAGACTTATTGATTTGTTTAAGTCATATCACCTTTTTATTTTCCAACATTATTTTTCATAATAACCAAAAATATCAGCTTATAAGTATCAATAAAATCTATAGTAAATTTTAATTACATCCTATCCCATGAAATAAAACTTAGGTAATTCTCTTAAACCACATTTTCATCTCATACATTTCATTTTTTTATTATAATTTTATCCTTACATCAAATTATTAAAATAGACACAAACCCTAAAATTTTTAATCCTAATTTCTCTAACACCCATCTCTTCTGTAACCTCTCGTACTAACGACAATGCCACTCGTTTCACCACTACAATGCTACTGCCATCTCATCTTACATTCTCTCAACCCCCATAACTATCTTGAAACCCTTATCAAATCACTATGTTCCCTGGCACTTATCTTAATTTTGACGCCTCCAACCCTCACCACTTACCTTACAAACCACTACATAACCTCTTTCATCTGTTGCCCACCATATATCTCTACTACAACCACCTTATACCATCGTCATTGCTGCTTTTTCTTCTCTAATCCACACACCCCCTTTACCTTTACACACATTTACAAAACTCTAGCCACCAATCTTTTGCAACCCCGTAGACAGGTGTGTGAAAGAGAAAGAAAGAGAAAAAGAAAGAAGGGTTACGATGGCAAAGGAGTTAGGAAAAAAGGATCGCGATTTTTGAAGTAATTGGGAACGAAGGGTCCTTGTGGTAAGAGGAGCCAAAAGGTAGTTGGGGAGGTTGTAATGGGGGAACAAGGGTTGCCGATAGAGCCTCGGCTAGAGGTTAGAGGTCAAAAGTGGCGGCAGTGGCTACGGTAGGTAGCAGCTGGAGATGGGATAAAGTTAGGATTTAGAAGGTTGGGATGTAAGAAATGAGATGAAGAATTTTAATTATCTTAAAATCGATAATTGATACTTTTAATTTATTGTTTTAATTATCAATACTCCACTAACTAAACTAATGCTGAGTTGTATATAATTTTTATTTATTTTTATTTTAAATATTCATTTAAGAATCGATTATTTTAGTTGATTTTTTTAACTTTTTTATAAAAATAAAAATAAAAATAAAGAGAATGATGTGATAAATTATAGTAATTTTTTGACTTTTGACTAAAAACTCAACTCTTTGAATGGATATTAGACTATTTGGTACATTTTTTCTTTTTATAAAAAATAATTTACATAAATATAGTTAAAAAAAACAAAAACAAATTATGTCAATGTTGGGACCGAAGTTTTTTTATTTTTTCTATCAAGATTGTAAGATATTAATTTATTAAAAACATTAGGAAAAATTACCCGTAAGTCCTTTTTGAAAAATTTGTATTCTATTTAATCCCAAAACCTTTTAGATAAATCCAAAATTCCTATACCCATTTATCTTCTCATCTTTTCCTACACCTTGCTTCTTCTCTTTATCTCTCTTTCTCTGATATCAGCGGCGACGACGACGACGACGACGACAATGACGATGACCACGCATTTCTTCTTTTCTTTCTCTTTCTAATCTATAGTCACCGATGACCAGCGACTAGCGACCACCATTGATTGGGGTTCACGGACAACCACCAGACACCAACTTATTGCTTCGTGCTCACCAATGGTGAAAGAGAAGAGTTTCCGATAAAGAAGATGAGTAGATATATTCAAATCTGATGTAGAACTACTCAGATTTATATCAAATTTGAATAGATTTATGTTAGATCTGGCTAGATTTAAACCAAAATATAGTTGTTAGAGTACAAACATATTTTTTTATTTGTCTCTTTCTTTCGATATCTCAATTTTAATACGTGTTCTACACTACACACTTTTATTTTCTTATTATAATGGAAAAAAATTTCAAGTTTTGAATAAATTATTTTCGAGTTTTAATTACAGACGATGAAAACTGTAAAATTTTATAGTTTCAGTTTTTTTTTTTTTATGCTGAAATGAATCATTCTTTATAACTGTAAAATTTTGCAGTTTCATAACTTGTTTTAAAACTGTAAAATTTTACAGTTTCATAACATGTTTTTCAGTTTGATTAATAAAGATAAATACTTAACAAATCATACTTTGAGATTGTAACATTTTACAGTTTCAAAACTTACTTTTCAGTTTGATCAATATTGAAAATTATTTGCTTAAACCCTACAAAAATTGAAAATAACATTTTTTTTTCCTATTGTTGTTGTTTGTTGTTCTTAGATTTTTTTCTCTTCTTTCAGTGTATCAATATTTAGCACATTTTGCTATGATTTTTCACTTTAATTTCTCAGTTTATTCTTTTTTTCCGGCAATATTCTAGATATTCCAGTGAGTCTCCGACGATGTTCTTAACGTCTAGCGAATAATTTAAATATTTTGACAACTTCCGGTGACGTTTAGAACATTCCAGTAATACTCTTGCGATTTTTCAATGATATTCCAACGACTTCCATGTGATGTTGAACATTCTGGTGAGTCTCCAATGACTGTCTAACAGAAGTTTGACAATAGTGGAATGTAATAGGATCCTCAAATTTTTATTTAAAAAAAAAAAAGATTTTTTGATAACAATTAAAAAATATATAAGACTAATTGGTACAAGTGTTTTGTTTTGAGATTGGATGGATTTTAAATTTTATGTATGGAAGTTATCATGTAAATTCCCCATAACATTAAAAATTACAAATAAAAAAGTGATTATTATTCTATAAATTCGAACTCTTGATCTTTCCTTGACACAACCTAAGGTGTGTGACTGTAAGGTGTGACTGTAAGATAGTTAAGCTAAGCCCAAAGTCTCCCCGATATATTATCAACCTAAGGTGTTGGGATCGAAGTCTATTTTTCAACTTCCCCCAGTATATTATTAATTTTTGGTATGGTCATGTGTAGACACCCCATTTTTGACCACCCGCAAGGCTCAAGCGCTTTGCCCGATACACTTGATAGTGAAAGTGATGTTGTACGTAGTTCGAGGTCTCAACAAAAGGGCTATGTTTAAGCTCCAAAATAATCTCAAACCTTCCATATTCACACTGTTTGTACCTCAGAAATCCAGTTTTACACATTTTGCCACCCTATGCTGAGTCTGAAGCAAAGAAACAAGGGATCACATTGAGGCCCGATCGTGTCTCATTGAAAGCCGACCGTGCCTTGGTAGCGAGAAATACTATTCTGCTGTCCTTTTTTGAATATATTTATGACCTATTTTGCTCAAATTCTATAAAAACGGAGTTGTATCTCTGTTTTGAGGGTTGAAGAATTTCTAAAAAGCTTATACATCTTCTTGAGAGCTCTTTCTTCTTGTGCAAGCAACCTTTGAGCAAGCTTACCACCTTTAACCTATATCCATACCCATACACTACATACACCTCCACACCTTAGCCTTAAAACCTTGGTTGAGCCTTGAACATCACAATTCAAGCTTAAGAGTGTGTTTGGACTTAGTTTGATTCACAAACAAAGAGCTTACCTTTTTTCAAGAGGTATAAGCTTACTATTTTCTCTCTTTCTTTCATTTCTATCATTTACTATCAAGTTCTTGTATTTTTGTATTGTTTTGATCCTCTTTCAAGTGTCTAAGCTTGGGTTTAGATAGCTACCAAAGGGTAGAGAGAGTTAATACTCTTTCTTGCACCTTCCTCTTTCTTACACCTTCACCTATAGCTTAAACCCTTATTTTTACACCCTTTCTTTTGCTTTCTAAATTGATTTTCAGAGTTTAAAAGAGGCTAAAAATCATGCTTTGAGGTTTCACAATGTCACGACCCAAACCCGCTCCTATAGGTTTAGTGTCGTAACCAGCCAGAAATCTGTGATTATCGAAGGCCTGTTTAACAATACTGACAATAATACAATATAACAGGGCTGACGGAAGCCAATCAATAATAACATACATCGTCCAATGAGCTGTGAGGGCCTAAATGGAGATAAACTTTCATGTACATAGCCATATTTATAATCATTTATGCCCATAAGCATATATACACAAGACAAAACATAAGTTAGGGAATCAATCCCATCATCTGGAACAGTATTAACATTAGTCTTAAAACATTCTTTTCACTTAACAAACTCAAAAGGGTGAAGTCGAGCCACCCAAAAATGCCTTG